ACCATACACAATCAAGCAAACAAAGAACCAGTCCCTGCTCTTGAGGAGTTCACGGTCTAATGAGAGAAAATGTGCAAAAAGAGGTATGTACAAACAAGATACGGACAGGATGAAGTGGGATCTCAGGGGGAAGGCAGGAGAGTTAGGAGAGGTTGGGAGTGGCTTCCTGCAGAAGAAGAGATATTATCAGGGACTTGAAGGAAAGCAGTGAAGCCAGAGAGACAGAAAGGTGGAAAGAGAGCCTGCCAGAGACAATGCTCAGAGGTGGGAGATGGACCGTCTTGAGCAAACCACAGTGGTTTTTTGGAGGCCAGTGTCTCTGGCTTACAGAATACGTAGAAGGGAATAGGTTAAAAGACTAGGAAGGTAGGAAGGACCCAGTTTATAACGGGCTTTAAAGGCCAAACATGGGATCTTCTATTTGATCCTAGAGCTAATGGGAAAGCCCTGGCGCTTACTGAGGCAGGGAAGTGACAAGGTCAGACCTGCCCTAGAGCAAGACAGATCTGACAGGTGATGGGAGGGTGGAGTAGAGTGGGGAGCCGCCCCAGCAGCCACTGCAGAGGTCCAGGTGTGAGGGGAGGGAACCCTGACAGCTGCAACAAAGGAAAGAAAGCCGAGCGTTAAGAGAGATGCTCTGGACATAGAAATGGCGGATTGGTAAGGGGTTGAAAAGCCAAATGGAGCAGTTTGCCTTTTATTCTAGGAAACAGAGCCACTGAAGATCCTTAGTAGGAGAATAACATCGGCAGACTTGTGTTTCAGCAGTAACAATCTGGCAGCTGGGGTGAGGGGGCAAATATACTAGTTTAAGTACCTACAACAATTTAAAATTGTAAAACCAGGCTGGAAGACAGAATAAATTGGTTATATCATACATGTTAATAAGAAAAATATCTTCTATCGCTCTGCCTGTCACAAGTCTCTCCCTACTCCGGTCCATCCTTCATTCAGCCCTCAAATTAAGCTTCCTACAGTGCCCATCTGACCAGGCCGGCCCTGCTCCCTAGTACATTCCAGCAGCTTTCTATCATCTCCAGGATCAGATATAAAATCCTGTTTGGCATTCAAATCCTTTAGTAACTGTTCTCTCTGACCTCCCCCATGCTTTTCCAGCCTTCTCATACCTTATGTCGTCCCCTAGGTCCAGGTGAATTCTGTAAGCTGTAGAGACTCTGATCTCCCGGCTGTTCATGGAACAAGACCTTCTATCTCCTGACTCCCGACATTCACTGGCTGTCCATGCTCGGAATTCTGTCACTCCTCATCTACGCCTTTCTGGCTTCCTTCAAGTCTCAGCTAAAATCCCACCTTTTGCAAAAAACCTTTTCCTATACCTTCCAGTGCCTTCCCTCTGCTGATTATTTTGAATTTAGTGTGTGTGTGTGTGTGTGTGTGTGTGTGTGTGTGTGTGTGTGTGTGTGTATGGAGAGAGAGAGAGAGAGAGAGGGAGAGTGCTTGTCTGTTCATAGTTGTTTGCACATTGTCTTCCCCACTAGACTGTGAGCTCCTTGGAGCAGATCGTTGACTTAAAAAAATTGTTACAGGTTTCCTTGAAACAGAGAGCTAAGTACATTTAGGATATCATTCCATTTCCCCAAATTTCATTAATTGATTTATCTTTAAGTAGAAGGGAGCTCTTATTAGAGAGGATCTTAGAATCTGGCTTCCTGCAAATTCATGGTTCCCCTCTATAGTGTCTGTGACAAGAAGCCATCCAATTTCTCCTCAAATATTTCCAGTAATGAGGAACTTACTACCTTGCAAGTCAGCGTATTCCATTTTTGACACTTGTAATTGTTGGAAAGGTCTTTCTTTTTTTAAAAATTTTTTCAATTAATTTATTTTGATTTATCAACAGTCACTTCCATAAGCTTTTGAGTTCTAAATTTTTCTTCCCCTCCCTCCCCACCTACCTCCCCAAGACAGCGTGCAATCAGATATAGGCTATGCATATACATTCCTATGGAAAGGTCTTTCTTACAGCAAACTGCCCACCCCTGCTCTATGACTTTCACCCATGGGTCCTGAGAAAGGCCCTCTGAGCTTCGTGAGATAAATCGAATCCCTCTTCCTAGTGACATCCCTCAAAATATTTGAGGCAAGTTGCCATGTTCCTCCTTTTGGTTTCTAATCAGAGAGCCATAACTTCTTTAAATCCTGCACCACGTGCATGATTTCCAGACCTCTTGCCCCCTGGTCGCCCTCTAGCTTGTCAACGTCGTTCTCCAAATGTGCTGCCGAGGTCTGAAAGCAGCGCTCTTGATGTGGCCAGGCCAGCGTGCTCTGCACTACGGTTATTACTGCTTATGCTCTAGACACTATTTTTCTATTATTGCAACCTAAGATTACATTAGTGTTTTTTGGCAGCCACATCACACTTTTGGCTCATCTTGAGCTTGCAGTAAACTAATAGCCCCAGGTCTTTTTCATGTGAACTGCCGTTAAGACAGGTCTTCCTATCCTGTACTTGTGAAATTGGTTTTTTGGACCCTAAATGAAGAATCGCATATTCTTCTTACTTAATTTCATCTTGATCCTTTTGATCCATCATTCCAGTCTGTTGCATTTCTCCTCTTCTCCCCAGCTTTGCACTCCCTTTAATAATGGACACTTTTCAGAGTATGGTGCCAATATCCCTAATATTCTACTAGGAAGCCAAAGGTGAATCCAACCTAAATGGAAGAGCTAGTCATGCTGGCAAAGTTTTTTGACTACCAAAAAAAAAAAAACTGTTTACTTTCCCTAAAAACTGATTAAGTTGAACTGGAGAGAACTGTATGCCATCATGATGTTGCCACTATTGCTGTTGGATAAGAAGGGGATCCCAATTCCCAAGCTCTGCACCAAGATGAGGGAGACAGATGCTCAGGCAAGGAGGAAGGAATCAGGGTAAGAACTGATACAGAATTTCTGGTTGAAGGAGATCACATGCTATTCTTTTCTTCTTCCTTTTTCTTCCTATTCCCTATCACACCCTTTGCCTCAGAGAAATTTCGTTTCCCTCAACAGCACAAAATAAATCAAATTTGAAGAAGGAACTGGGTCAAAAAGTTGTCCAGAAATAAGCACTTTTTTAATGGGGCCAATGGGAATGCAGGTGGTTTGTAGGGCTTGCCAAAGGAGCCCTCAATAAGGGAGATATTCCAGATGAAATAGACTGAGGGCTGAAGGCACTGTAGTGGCCAACGATGAAATACACCAAGAGCTGGAGGCATCTTAGCAGTCATCAAGTTCCTACCTTAGTTTAATCTAATATTAAAGATGAGAAAATTCAAGCACAGAGAGGATGAGTGATTACCCAAAGTCACACAGGAAGTGACCAAGGGAAATTATTATTTTACTATTACTATTAATAACCAATTGTTAATTTGGTATCTGGGCTTTTCTCCTCTATTTCTTCATGGAGGCCCAGCTCCTGTGGAAGGTCAGCCTTCTCTGAAGGACATGACCGAGATTACCCAATCTTCAGGGAACATGCTCCTCCCTCTTGGGCAGGGCCCCAACCAACTAGGAGACCTTTTGTTTAGAATATAAATAGAATCCAGTCCAGGACAACTCTTACCCAAAGGAAGTGAGCCCTCTCCTTGCACCCCTCTGTCTGAGTTTAGGGTGCCCAGCTTATGCAAGAGAAAGCCCACTAGAATGGTCTGAATGGAGATGGATTCCCCTGTCCAAAGCACTGAAGGCCATTAAGACTCATGATCAAGCCAGAGTCTCACCGGGAGGAGTTAAAGACTTATAGCCCACCTCCTCATTAAATGTCCACCAGTCAGGATTGATTTTCAGTTGTCAAAGGAATTTCCTTTCAAGGATTATTAAAAGCTTTCAGGCTCTCCATGTCTTTTGCCTTTAGTTACCGAAACCACTGACCATCAATTTAGTGATTATTAGATAGCCTAATTAATAAACTGATTATTAATTACCCAGAAATTCTGTCTCTTGGGGTTTTTCATTTGTCACATGGCAGAGCTAGGATTTAAACCTTGGACCTCTGACTCCCAATCCAGCCTCACTGCAACAGAGACCTCATGGAAAGGGATCTCACAGGTCATCAATTCCAACTCTTTTGGTTGAAGAAACTGAGGCCTAAGGAGATTAAGTGATAGGCCCAAGGTCACACAGGTAGAATTCAAACCTAGGACCTTTGACTCTAGGGCCAGTGTCCTTTGCATGCCGTTCCCAAAATAGTAAGAAGGTAAGCAAGGAACTAGAAGAACCCACGAATCATATAATCAGTCCCCAGAAAATCAAGGGCTGCTTAGTGGAGTGAGTTTTTTTGATGATATGACATCACTTGATGATTTCAGATACCTACACAGAAAACCATCTGTTAGCCACTCAGATTTAATAATTACACATCCTGGAGGCCTTGATAATGGACTGCTGAACATCTCTGTACAATCTGTGTGTCACACATTCCCTTCAGCCAAACAATCTTCATACCCTGGGGAACTCAATGAAATATGCAATAAACCCAGGCCCTCACCAATTCAGAACTCCAGTGTTCGCTCCTAACCCTCACTATGGCCTCCTGCCTGGCTCTAATCCCTGGCTGGCCATGCCTACACTATCAGCACCAGTTCTACTGCTAGAGTCTAGTCCCAGACTTGTCCCCCTTGGACCTCCCACTCCCACCCTGGGTGTCTTCATCTTTCTTTAAGATGTCACAGAATCACAGAGCTGGAAACAGCCTCATAAGCCATCACACCAACACCTGACTGCTACAGCTTCCCTTCCACCATATCCTCAACAAGGGATCATCCACCTTCTGCATGAAGTCTTCCAGTGAGTGAAGCCATTCCCCTTCCAGATAACTCTAATCGTCAGGGAGTTTTACAGCAAGAAAGAGGAATAGGGACACTAGGGATGAACTGGGGGAAACAGACATTGTCATTACTTCATTTTCACCCCTGGGCAATTCCTTGGGGTAGTGGAATGTACACTTCTAATGTGGTTTATTTATAACAATATTGATTGCTTAAGAGAGTCATACTGACCTTAGGTGGTTTAAATGGGTAGTCTGGTGAGAAGGTAATGTCAAGAAAGAAAACCCCTCCTTCATAGACAGACCCTGGGGGTCCCAAGATAGTTGACCGCCATTCATAAATGTTGTCTCCTTTGGGTCCAGCACTGTAAAGAGAAATGAACATGAGACATGCTTAGAAACTAAGGATAATCTAGAGTTTGTCATATTGGTTTTATCATGATAATGAATTGGGCAAGTACATTTAAATTGATAACAGAGCAGACCGGAGGTTAATTATCCAGCATAAGTCAGATGCTAATACACTAGTAGTCACCACTGGGAATGTTTTAAACATCATTACTGATAGCAAAAGAAAACCAAGAAGATTTTGGGGTAAGGGGATGCTAGACACAAACGTTGACTACTTCAAAATACTGCCGAGGATTAGCAGACCTTGTAAGAAAGAGCAGGGAAACCTGTCATTCCCCTTCCTCCTTCCCGCACCAGAAAAGGTCAAAGTCTCCCACTACAGCCTGGGCCATCTCCAGTCATCCTGATCTGTATCTCGCCACTGGACTCCGATGATTCGGGAGCAGAAAGTGAGGCTGGTGACTTTGCACAGCCCTCCCTTACTTAAATCCAATTCACTTGCATGTCGTGGCACCACCGTCCTGAAGTCATGGTCCTCTTCGAGAACGAAGGACAAACAACAACAGCCCTCACCAGAGCCTCTGGCCCTCAGACTAATTCTGTTGAATCCCCAAGGTCTGGGGGTCTTGGGGTACAGTACCCCAAGGTACTCTAAGGGAGGGCTAAGCAGAATGCTCTGGGCTGGCCTACAATCCACACCACAATTGATAACATTGGGAAGGTGTGGTTTAAGCTCAGAAGCAATCAATGAATCAAGTTTTGAGACATAAAATGCTCAAAAATGTGGAACTTCCCATAAGGGGGCCCTTCTGACAACAGGCTGTACAACAGTGGGTTTCTCAGAAATGTAGTATCCCAAAAGAATCCCTGAAATCAAATGAGATTTGGGCACTGCATTTCTCTTTGAGACCCTGAGCAAAAGGAACTAGGGAATCTCAGTCTTTGACAAAACAGTAACCATTTCATTGGCGCTTAACATTTGACACACATTATCTCATTTGAGCTTCAGGACATTACTGGGAGACAAGGTTGAGATTATCCCCACATTCTACAGATGTAGAAACAGAAAGCTCCAAGGACTAAACTGATTTGTCCACAGTCATACAGCTAGTAAGTATCAGACCCCTAGAGATAGATACCAGATACCAAGAGATAGACTGTACCCCATAACACAATTAAAGACCCTAAAGGAGAGAGTCAGGCAGGAATTAAAGAAAAACTGTATTCAATTCAGGATACCTTACTGGGCATTTAAAACGGCAAGACTGCGGAGATGCGAGAATTAAAAAAAAAAAAAAAGCCTCTGCTCTCCAGGAGCTTGTTCTCTGCTGCAGAGACAGGAAATGATAACTACAACCTAGTGAAGATTTTCTTCTATTCTATCATGTTTTGAAATTATGTTTATGACATTCATTGTTTTAAAAAAAACCTTATGGATAAAGTATTAAGTGCTTATTAAGTACCAGACAGCAAATACGAGACAGTCCCTGCCCTCAAAGAGTTTACATTCTAATGGCTATTCTAATCCATGAAGGGGTAGCTGACTTCAGTTTAATTCCAATGAACAAGGTTGGTCCCAGGGAGCAGGCCAGGAAGTCTCCCAGGTAGACAGAAGGTTAGAACCACATGTTAAGTACATATTCAGACACGACTATCTATTAGCTTGTGTTCGACTGTTTATCTTTATTCCAAGGGAGGATCTGATGGTGCTGGCGGTCAGGGACATGTAGTAGGAAATAACCAAATGTTGGGGCAGCAGGTGGCAATGCAGTAGACAGAGTGCCAGGCCTTGAGTCAGGAAGACTCATCTCCAGAGTTCAAATATGACCTCGGACACTTACTAGCTGTGTGACCCTGGGCAAGTCACTTTAACCTGTTTGCCTCAGTTTCCTCATTTGTAAAATGAACTAGAGAAAGAAATAGCAAACCACTCCAGTATCTTTGTCAAGACAACCCCAAATGGGGTCATGAAGAGTCAGACATGACTGAAAACAACTAAACAACAAACCACAGCATAAGACACAAAAGGCATCAGCGAAACTTGAGACAAATTTTAAAAAATCTTACTGAGCAATTCCTAAATGAATACATTGAAAAGCAGTGTTGTCAGAAAATCATTCTTCACCTCCTTCCTCGTTCTCCATCTTCGCACTAATGGCCATGCAATGACCTCTCTTTGTATGTTCACGTTGGAAGCTTTGGCCACAAAGGCTGCCTGTTGTCAGATGAGCTTGCTCACTCAGATGACTCATACACTTGGTTGCCACCCTGAACTATAATTAGCCTCAGTATGAATAGATAAGTTCAAAAGAGAGAAGAGTGAGTAGTGGGTAAATTATAGGCTTGTGGTAACAGTATTTCCTCATGGTAAATGAAGAAATGTATATTTTTCTAAAAGTTATACTGTACATTGCATAGAGCTATGTAAAACTACGCAGGGCCATCTTCCCAATTCCTACTGTAGGAGTATCTGTCACCATCCACGGCTCTGACACTGAACATGCACTGCTCAGTCATCACAGCAGACCATCACGGGGCTTTAAAGTTGCAAAGTACTTAACAGATACTGGGTGAGAATCTCCCCTAGAATGGACATACCCCAGTAAAGTGACTCCAGTTTTTACCCGAAGCTGCTATTTCCTGGGGTAAGCTGCCCTTTCTTCTCTAAGAGTTAGTAAGTTTTCCCTGAATTTTGAGCTTATATTTGCCTTTTGTAGTTTCGATTCTAATTTCAGTTCTGCTCTCTGGGGCCAAACGGAACAACTTGGACCCCTTTTTTCCAACATGCACACACACACACACACACACACACACGCACACCCCTTCAAGTACATGAATAAACAGTTAGCATGCCTCCACCCCCCCCCCCCAAAGAAGCCTTTTTTGCTCCAGGCCAAATATGCCCCTTCCTTCAACCAGTCCTCAAATCGCAGGAACTGAAGCCCCTTCATCATCCTGGCTGTCTGACCTCCTTTGGGTACAAGAGTTTATCGTTTTGACTTGTTGATGGGGGTTAATGCAAGGAGTCACAAAATACAGATACCCAGGAGGAGATTCACCAGGAGAGGGCTTTGTGCAATGACTTTTTAAAAACAATGCCTCTGGTTTGTAATATCAGTTACTTCTGGATTAGCTTTCTTCGCCCAGTTAGCTGCATCTGATGCCATATCAAACATTTTACACCCACAGTTCTCAAGTTCTCCAAGGAGTCATTCATTTCCTAACCTCATCTCCGGGTCCAGATTGGTCACTACGATTATTGCAGATTTTGACTTGATACGGTTGTTCTTTTCATGTCTATTACTGTAGCTTATGTATCTATCTATATCTACATTCCTTCTGATTAACAAGAATAAAAATAATATGTATCTATATATATGTATATACAAACACACATTAGTGTTTCAAGGCTTGCAAAGTACTTTACATGCTATATCTAATTTGATCCTTATAATAATCCTGCTAGGTAGATGTTATTATTACCCCCATTTTCCAAATGAGGAAACTGAGGCAGAAAGCGGTTAAGTGCCTTGTCCAGGGTCACACAACTAGTATGTGTCAGAGGCCAGATTTGCCCTCAGGTCTTCCTGCCTCCCAAGACTAGCACTCCATCCACATGGTCACCCAGCTGCCCTTCCCTACCTCCTTCATCCTTCATCTGTTCACACAAGCCTTCCCATGTTTCTCTGAATCCTTCCTAGCAGTCATTCTTCCCACCTCTATATTTCATTACATTCACACAGCATAATGTGCTCGGCCACTCCTCTTTTGATGGACAACCACTTTATGTATCATTTGTTGCTACCCCCAATACTGCTATGACTGTCTTGGTATATATTCGGTCCTTCTGTCTTTGAGATTCTGCCCAGCAGGAGGCTCTCTGGGTGAAAGGCTATGGACAGTTTGGCCTCTTGAAGCTTTTTTTTCGGCATAATTCCAAACTGGTTTCCAGCACGATGGGACCAATTCACCACTCCCTCATCACTCTACTAGTGTGTGTCTTTCTGCTGCCCCTCCCCCAACACTGCTACCTCTTCTGCCTTTGGTCCTTTGACCAATTTGCTGGATATGAATCCAAACTTCAGAGCTTTGTAATTTGTATTTCCGTGACAATCTGTGACTTCAAGCAATCTTTTATATTCCACTCAACAAAGCATTTATAAAAGGATAGGTACTGGATCTAGTTGTTAATAGTTTGAAGTTCCTTTTAGAATTATTTGTTCATTTCCTTTGACCACTGATCTCCTGGAGAATTGCTCCTGAAGGATGCTCATAAAGAGGAATGCCATCAGACTCCAGTGGCTGGGAATGTTGGTATTCAGACATACCTTTATTCAGGCCTGCACAACCTGCGGCCTGCCAAAGATTGGGTAGGCCTGCTTTATCCCAGCCCTGAGTTTGGTAAAACTGAGAGACTTCTCTCAGACTAACTCAATTTCTAATTCCTCAAACCAAATTATTTCATTTTTGGCTGTCTGAATTCACACTGCACCATAGAGGGTATGGATAACACTGCCCCACTGGATTGGTTGGTGCTGTCAAAGGGGGTATTTACGGGAAAGCCTTGACCAACACTGTAACAACAATTTGTGTTAAAAACAGATTGTATTTTTTAAACAAACTTTCCATGTACTTGGAATCCCTCCAGTATTGTTCCTTAGGCCAGAGGGAGCACTGGCCTCTTGCCCGTTAGGGCTGCTGTCCCTGATCTGCCCATTAGGATAGTGGGTACATGGGCTTCAGGCTCTAACCCTTTTTTGGGTAAAAATGTTGTTCACACACACACTATAATTAATAGCTTCCCACAGTGAAGAAGATAGGGTTTACTAAAGAAGCAACTGAAGTAAAAATAAAAAAAGGGGGAGAGGGAAGGGAGGACAAGTGCTAGAAAGCCCTCTGTATTTTGGTTGATAATTGTACCTTCCCTGCTCCAAGCACACACAGAGAGAAAACCTGGCCTCAATGATTACCACTATCAGCATGCTCATTCTCTGGGCCCTCAATGATTTTCCTA